GACAAGGCAGGAATTAAAATAAATGTGTGAATTGAGATGTATTATGAGCATAATTATAGGAAATCACCTTACTGCAGGGACACAGGCAGACAGAGGTAGTTTCATCCCTGAGAAGGCATGTCACCATGCAGCACCATGGAGGCCATTGGCATGCCCTGTTTATCTCTGCTCACAGCCCTCCAGAGTACTCTGAGGTCACAGAGTGTCAGGGTCTTCTGCTCTCTCCAGCAAAGTGGTTTCTGCAGGGGGCAAAAAATGAGAGGTGTTGGGCTGAAGCGCTGCGGAGAAAGCCATCCTTCATTTGCACTCACACCAATGGGCGTGCACTAAGGCAGCAGGGCTTACTGGGCTGCCAGGGGTATCTCAGCAAAGACCTCCTGGGATCTTTCCTGCCCTCTGGCTAAAGCAGGACTGTGGCTTCCTCTGTCTTAAGGAGAGGCAGAGCTCTTCCTAGACTGGTGGAGGATGTGGGGAGCTGAAGTCTCAGTGCTGGCAATGGGAACAACGGCCCCTTGTCATTCTCCTTGTGAGCCAAAGATAGGAGCTGCATTGATCCTGCTGGCATCCAAAGCAGCTGGGAACATCCGCCAAGCCTGCCTGGGACTCTGCAGATAAACAGCACGTGGGGAGCGGGGCAGGCGGCTTGGCAGTTTGGCTTCTTGCTGCCCCATTAAGCTCCTTTTCTTCTTCCCCCCTTCCCCCTCCTCCTCAGCAGCATGTTCAAATCCCCCAGACAGCTACTGGGCACCGCTGAAGGGACCAGCCCAGGAATGGGACAATAAAATCCCTGACACCACTGTTCAAGAGGCCTCGGGGAGGGGGGGAAGGCCAGGCCAGCTGCATGGGTATAAAGCTGTCCCATGCTCCTGGCACAGCACTGCAGCACAGTTGTTTGCCAGGCTCCTCCAGCATCTCCAATGGATATCACCATTCATAACCCCCTGATCCGCAGACCCCTGTTATCTTGGTTGGCACCGAGTCGTATCTTTGACCAGATTTTCGGAGAGCACTTGCAGGAGTCAGAGCTGCTCCCTGCTTCCCCCAGCCTCAGTCCCTTCCTGATGAGATCCCCCATTCTTCGGATGCCCAGTTGGCTAGAGGCAGGACTCTCTGAGGTAATCTTCCCTTCTTAATGCTCTTTGTTATTGCTGTGTGCACATCCTGATGTGTCTGGAGCTGAAGACCCATGAGAGCTGAGAGCTTGGAAGCTGCTTGTAGGTGGTTATTAGGAAAAGGCTGGGGAAAAGGGTGGTGTGTTTGTGCTTTTCTGCATCAGGCAAGAACCTCTGCATGCTCTGCTAATAATTTGTGACTGAGACTAAGTATTGCCATAGTGTTGGGAATAGAAGCAAACTGAGCTGAGTGTGTGCAGCAAATGACGGTAAGAGCTGATGGAAGAAAGGAGGAAGCCCAATTTCCCTGTCTGCTGTGCAAAACATTAAATCTCACTCCCTCCTGAAAAGCAAACAGCACCGGGGTAGTGGGCAGGGGTAGTGGGATCCTCATGTCCGGGCAGTGTGGGACCTCATGGCTGCTGAGGAAAAAGGGGTCTATTTTAAAGAATCACTGCTGAGAAGAGCAGAATTTCAAGTAAGATACAGGACCCAAAGGATCATGAAGCAACCATCTGCTTGCTTCAGGGGCTGAGCCAAGAGGCATGCAGTTCAAACAACCTTGCCTGTTCTGCGAGTCCACTGTCTTATTTACAAGTAACTTGTAGAGCTATTCTAAGTCAAAGGAGTGAGAGGAAAGTATTTTTTTATTCTTTGCATAATGTTTCCCTTGATTTAGTGACCTGGATCTGGCTGTCCGCTGAAGCAGCCATAATAGGCACCACAGATAACAATGTCTGACTATCTCAGTGGAGAAATCTCCACAAATAATCTAGAAGGAGGAGGAAGCACTTAGGCTCCCAGGTCAAACTGTGGAGTCCAGTAAGCCTAGAGCTGGCACAGAGGCTGCCTCCACATCCCAGAGCAGAGCTCCAGGAGGCTTGCATGCTCCCTGACCAGGAATGCAGCAGGAAGGCAGAAACAGCCAGCTGATATAGCAAAGTCCCACAAATGTGTCCAAGAAAGGCAGAAAATGCAAATTCAAGCTCAGGAAGCAGCAAAAAGCATTATTTGTTAGAGGCGATAAAGTGCAAAATGGAAGGGAAGAAGGTGAGATTAGCAGCAGGTGACTCAGTGTTTCAGCAGAAGTTCTGCTGCTCAGATAACAGAGGTGAGCAGTGAGGGAGTACTGCTTGACGGTGACAATGCAGGGAAAGGGTGACGATGCAGGGATATTCTATATTCTGAGAGCCTTTTTAAGCAGAAACCCTCACCTGCTCTTCTCTGAAGTCACCTCCTTGTTTTGCAGATGCGACTGGAGAAGGACAAATTTTCTGTAAATCTTGATGTGAAGCATTTCTCCCCTGAGGAGCTAAAAGTGAAGGTGCTTGGTGACATGATAGAAATTCATGGGAAACATGAGGAGCGCCAGGTACTTCTACTTTAACTGTGCAACTGATAGAGTCAGTGTGAACTTCCTCATCTATGGTTAAACAAGGAGACTCCAAAACAATCCTCTCCTGTGCTCATCTCAAATACTTCTAATGTTTTTATCAACAAATCCTAATGGAAGATGCTCTGTGCAATCCTCCCCGCGTGCCCTCCCCCCCCGCTAATCCCAGACTGGGCAGCAACAGGGTGGAGATTTATTGCTGATGTTACATGAACTGTGAACTGAAATGGAAAATCATCTTTGAAATGGCCAGGAACACAGGGAGGCATTCAATAAGCTAACAACGAACTGCAATAATTAAACCACATAATGAATCAGTGCATTGCCCTGTTCCGTTACCACAAGGCTACCTCTTCCTGAAAAAGGCCCATCTGTCAGTTTGTAAGACTTAAAGGTTGTGTTCTGCTGTCAGTCATCCCACTGCTTGCTCGGGAGACTTGTGTGGCACCTGGGCAGATAGAAGTCAAACGCCATGTCCAAAGCTGTACGTAACAGGGTTTGCCAGTCTCTATCTCCCTCTCACCCCCCATCCCCACCTGCTTGCCAGAAGGAAATGAGTACACATGATAAAGTAGCTATGTCACTGGAATTGTCAGCTCTAAGAGCTTCTGGAAGCACAGATCTGTCAGTCAGGAAATACAGCATTACTTGTAGCTGGTGAAAGCCTGTAATCCTGACACAGCTTCTGCAAATTTTTTTGGCTAAGAAAATAAGCACTATAGCAGAGATCAGCTCACTAGAAAGCTGTGTATTACGAGAGCTCTGGAGACCCTCAGGAACAGGCGTAGTTGGCACTGCATGTAGGTCTAGCTGCTGCATCTTAGGAATGACAGCACACCACTGTGAAATGAAGCCAGTCTTTGGCACAAAACTGGAACATAAAACCTCCTCTTGTAAACAGTATACCTGCAGGCACCTGCAGCCTAGGCAGGGCCATGTCTCACTTTGCCCAGTCTTCGCTCTTTAAAAAGGGCATCTCATAATAAAAACTCTTCTAACTTTCTGAAAAGTTTTCCTTTGAGAGCTGGAGCTTCCTTATCTCAGACTTTATGTAAAGGCCCCATGGAACTGAGTGAACATTTCTAATGAGGGCTGTTCCTTCTCTTCTCCTTTTGAAGGATGAGCATGGCTTTATTGCCAGGGAGTTCAACAGGAAATACAGGATTCCAGATGATGTGGACCCTCTGACCATAACCTCGTCACTCTCTCTGGATGGTGTCCTGACTGTGAGCGCACCGAGGAAACAAAGTGATGTCCCTGAGCGCCCTATCCCTATCACCCGTGAAGAGAAGCCTGCCATTGCAGGAGCCCAAAGGAAGTAGGCTCCTATTTAAAGTCACCCCGGGGGGCCATTCAAGACCACTTTTCATCAGATGCCAACTACTCTTAGTATTTATGCTGAATAAGTTTACTAACAAATAAAACATGAATAAGCAGTTTGTATTACTTTGTTTTGAGTACCGAGGACAAGGGAAGTGTTGGGTCAAGAAAGGTTGTGTGTAAGGTTGCTGTGCAGGGAAACATACCTAACATCATTCTTCCTTACAGCCTGAGAGGCAGGTGTGTCCAGGAGAGCTTGTCTGGGTGTTCAGAAACACTTTGCTAGTTTCACTTTGTGTACTCTAATGTTTTGCAAACATCTAATTGCATGAGCCTTTTCCTTCAATGTTGCCAGAGAATTTCAGAGTGTTTCACAAGCAACAGAAAAGTTTCTCCAGCAGAGATTAGACTGGTAAAACAACTTCATGACAATCGAAACCCATTCAAAGTGTGGGTATTAGATAACAACTGAATGGAAGACAACTGTATCTTAAATCTCTAGAATGACTCATGTTATGGGGAAGCATCCAAGTGCTGCAACCAATTCAGAGAAGTTGCAGATGAAAATTGCATAGCTGCAGTAAAGACAGATATATCCAGAGAGGAGAAAAACGTCCTGCTTCCACAGTGCAAATCACATCACTTTGAAACTATGTTGTCAGTGCCCTTCAAACAATGACCAGGATCTGTTGTCTACAGTACTAATCTGATTTATGCTCACATTGTTGAGTGGTACAAAACACTACTAAGTCCTTTTCAGGTATCATCATCTGCTTAGCACCTCTCTTCAAAGGGATATGAGCTTAAAGGAAAGTCTGTATTACTGTAATTGAATTTCTAAAATACATCTCAGAAAAGGACAGAATGCCATGGATCTGTCACACAGACTTAGTTATGACCTGAGCTATTTTCTATGTTCCTTATACTTGCTAAGACAACAGTTGTATTAGAAGGAATCAGTTTAAATCTCAGATGAACTGAGAGGGGATCCTTCTTCCATGGCTTTAAGTGAGAAAAATAAAATGAGCAATGATGTGGGATCATTGTCAAATGGCCCAAATCCCACCTAATTGCCAAGATCTAGTGTTTCCTATTAGCTGGTTCTAATAAGCTTTTTGAGTTAAGGTGTTAGTTGGGCTTGACTGACAAGGTGCAGGGTGACTGGTGACTTGCAGTCACCTCTGCACACAAAATAAACAACAGAAACACACATAGGTTACAAACAATACAGCTTAGAAAGTAGGAAGAACGTTTTTCACATGATGCTACATTTAGCTTTAATGCATGACAGGTCTTTTTGCTTGAAGGATATCCTTGTAGCACTGCTAGCGGACAGGCCTCCTGTTTTTCTGAAGACATAGCCTGCAGATTCTCTCCATCTCTGTTGCTTTTCCTGCATCCTTCTTGTTCCTTCTCTGAGTGTCGGACGCAAGCAAAGAAAATGCTGCCATATGGAGGCCTGTAGTCTAATGTGGAGCAGAACTGAGCAGTTGGGTTGAATGAAGGAGCTTCCAACTCAGAATAGTGGCCCAGAAACCAATGAGGTTCTCATTTAAATCCTAAAAGAATAAACACAAAAAAACTTGAGGAAGTAAGTGCAAAATAGTAAGAATATATTCAGAAAGTGCAACTGAGGGAAATTTTTTCTATAGAGCAGAGTTTTGTTAGGCTCAAACTCAGGAGCAAGAAATGGGAATTTTGAGTGAAAGCTCCTTGGGGATAAATGTGATGAGGTTAGCTAGACAAGAACACTTGAAATGCAAATACCACTTCCTGAATGACTCGAAATACCTGTTCTGTGGTGGCACAGGAGCACAACTCAACATTCTGCCATCTCTAAGCACAAATGTCATTCAGAAGCTCCTCTTTAGCTACTCTACAGATCCCACAGACTATATTTCACTTCTGTGCACATACTTTTTATTCTCTGATGTATTTTTTATTCCCTTGTAATCTGAAGAATATGTTGTTTCAAAGCAGTGAGTATACTGAAAAGAAAAACTCACATTTAGCATGGCTAAACATAAGTAAAAAACTTTAATATTTTATATCTTACAGGAAGACCAAAGTATCTGCAATTGCACTACTACTTTCAAATCAGTCTAACCTAAGATCACAAAGCTTTGGTGGTAACTTTTGATTCACCATCTGAATAGCAAAGGAAAGAGAGCTGGACTGGGGCCACTGTTACAGCGAGTAAGACTGAGTTTAAACAGAAAAACATTCCTCTCATCTTTACTCCTGTAGTGGGACTGTTGTAGGGCACTCATCAGAGAAAAGGGTGCTGTTGCCTTTCTGCATTTTTAAAAAAACAATAGAAAGTACTATGAGCGGGGCTGCAGAAAGGGAAGCTACTCATGGGAGGCTTACCTCTGATGTATTCGTAGCTGGGGATGGAAAGGATAATGCCCTGTGTGCATGACCAGTGATCATCTCAACTGAGATTTGCTATATCCACAATAAGGAAAAGCACAAGGACATAGCTGGGAAGGAAATGGCTTGGGGTGCACAATTGTCTGGATATGGTATCGTTCTTCATTCCAGCTCCCCATAAGGGTTTTCAATGAGTAATCATTTTCATTGGTGGTACACCTCCAGCCATACTGGGAAAACTCAGAAGTGCTGTTCCAGTCCATTCGCAGCTCCCCATGGTCAGTAGCATGCATTAAGGAGCCATGGAGGGAGTTGTATAAACATCTTGAACATGATCTGGCAATAGAAATCAACAACTCCCTAGGATCAGCTTGGATCTCAACAGCAGGTAACATGACATGGAATGTTGCCCCTTCTATTCCCCTGGTGACTGGAGAGGGACCTCCTATACTTTCCACGCGTGACAGAGGGCATCACAGAAGAACTGTGTTCCTTCCTCATGCCAAAAAGTTTGTGTTTGTTTGGGGTTGGTTGGTTGGTTTGTTTGTTTGTTCGGGGGGGTGGGGGTATGGTATTTTCCTAAACTACGATAGTGCATTTCTCAGCTTGATGTTACTGAACTTACCCACCCTTTGAAATGGACGAAGAACTTACCGAAGGCCACAGAGACCTGAACTGGGACCGGAGCTCATAAACTGCAAGTGGTAGGTCTCTGTTGGAGCTTGCCTTTGCCCATTTTAAGCCTTCCACTGTCATTACCCATGTGACTCCTGAAACACTGTCCTTGTCCTGTGCAGCAGCTGAGAGCTGACAAATAGAACAGGTGACAGTAAAGAATGGCTATTCTCTCT